ACAATAACAAATAAAGTAAGAGGGAGGAGGAAGATGCCCAAGCAGGGGATGGATGGTGAGCCAGGAGGACAGCAGCCCCCCAGCCTGAGCTGGGAGGAGTCAGGGGATGACCCAGCCTTTGGTGAGACCCCTCAGGAAGGCACAGGGGAGACTCCTGGGCCAGGACCTACCTTGGACAGGGAATCCCTGCAGGCAATCTTCCCAGGCGAGCTATGGACACACAGGGAGGCTGGGAGGCTCATCTGCAGCAGCAAAAAAAAAAAGTGTGAGAAATTAGCTGAGAAAGCTCAAGAATGGGGCTAATCAGCCATGCCTGGCAGCCATGCCTGCAATACCAGCAACTCTGGAGGCCGGGGCAGGAGAATCAAAAGTTCAAGACCAGACCCAGCAATATAATGAGACCCTAAGTGACTTAGCAAGACCCTCTGTCTGAATAAAAAATAAAAAGGGCTGGGGATGGGGCTCAGTGGTAGAGCCCCCTGGGTTCCCTCCCAGGAGGGAGAGAAAGGGCTTGGGCTAGGGCCTGGCCAGGGAGCGTTCCACAGGCGGGGAGGGGTGCACCATGGGTAGGAAGGGGCTGGGAGTTCAGGCGGGGCTCAGTTGAGGAGGTGCTGGAGCACCACCCTCTGGCACTGATCACTTCTTATTTTTCTGGGTTAAGTACCTGAAACTTCCGTGGGGTCCTCAGATGCTTTAGACTTCTAATGTCCTTTAGATGCGCCCTTTTGCTAGACTTTCTGGCCTGACTAAAGGGGAAGGAGGGGACTGGTCTTGGGTCTGCTGGTGCACCAGCTGCAGTCAGCATGAGGCCCAGAAGGGAAAGGGATTCCTGGAACAGAAGACGAATCCCACACTGGTGGGGAGCTAGCTGTCCCCAGGAGAGGGGCTGCCTCCGCTTCCCTCAGTGCTGAGTGAAGCCATCAGTGTTTGTTAAGGAGCAAAGGAAAGGTCCTCTGAGTTCTGTCTGTGAATCACAGTGGGTGAGGTGCCGCTGGAGGGGAGGGCAGAGGCACAGCAGGTGAGGTGCCTGAAGTGAGAACCAGCCACGTGGGCAGAGCTGGAAGAACCTGGAGCAGGTCAGGATGTGTCCATCTCTGCCTCGGCCCCCTCTGTCCTCGGGTGCCACTTACACAAAGCTGAGTGTGTCAGGGCCACTTGATCTTGACGCTGGATTCTAAGATGACAGTGACCTGAGGTTCTCTGCTCGCCTCCTTCCCATCCCTACTTGGGACAGAGTTCGCCTGATTCTCTTCCTCTTCTGGCTTCTTATTTCATAAATGCCACACTCCCTTACCTCTTACAAAACACTTAGAAATTGTCCAAAGCCTCTCTTCCATGATGCGTCTGTAATGTATTGTCAGGGTCGGGCTCCCTCCACCCCAATCTGGGGAATGCTTCAACTCTTTTTTGCTTTAGAAATTTTCCCCAAGTCCCATCTGGGTTTTTGCTTATTTTGTATGTACATGTATTTACACACCCTTGAGTGGGTTTGTTCTTGTCCCAATGTGGCATTAGTAAGTAGTCGTTCACTGATGCCATAGACACGGATGTTTTTAAAAAGGGGTGTTGGGCTGGGTGTGGTGGAAGCCTACAATCCCAGCAACTCGGGAGGCTAAGTAGGATCACAAATTCAAGGCTAGTCTCAGCAACTTGGTGAGACCCTATCTCTAAATGAGAATAAAAAGGGCTGGGATGTGGCTCAGTGACTAAGGTCCCCTGGTTCAAGGAAGGGGGGGAGGGGGAGAGGGAGGGAGGGAAAACAAAAGACATAATTAATTCTGCACAGACTCCTCTTCAGTGAGTCTAAAGAGGTAGGATCAGCACACTAACTGTAGTGCCAAGAAGACCAGGGAGGAAACATGGGTGGGTGGGTTTCCTCTTGCTCCTGGGTTTTCCTAGGTGCTGTGAGGTAAACCACCATGCTGAGCTGGGAAGGATCTGGCTGTGCAAATACGGGGAAATGCTAGCAAACCCTAACATGATGACTTTTCTGTGATACTGCAGATTAACAAGTGTGATCAATTTTACATTCCATTACAGTGTCTGCTCAAAATTACCACATTCCTTTAAATTTATTGTTGTTCAGCAATTTCAAAGATGCAGCTAGAATGTGACCCAATGGCAGCAGAAAATCAGTGAGATGTTTTCTGTGGGTTAAATAATTATTTTCCAGTGATGCAAACATGTAACAGCCTGTCCATATTTTTCACTGATATAAATGCATCAATTTTCTTGATTATATATCTTGTGAAAAGCAATGGAACAAAACTGAACAAAAGATTCTTTCAGGGAACTTGCATTTGAAGCACTTTTTTTTAATCTTTTTTTTTTTTTTAAGTATCTCAAATGCTTTTTAAGTTTGTTTATTGGGGGCCTGAGAGCGCTTGCCTGGCATGTGTGAGGCACTGGGTTCAATTCTCAACACCACATATGAATAAACAACATAAATACAAAGGTCCATCAAGAACTAAAAAACATTTTTTAAAAAGTTTGTTCATTTTTTTAAAATGGGGATTTATTTATCTATTTATTAATGTGATGCTAAGGGTTGAGCCCAGGGATTCACTTTGCACAGGCTAGGAAAGCACTCTACCTTGGAGCTACATCTCTAGCCTTTTTTATTTTGAGATAGGTTCTTGCTGAATTGCCTTGCCTACTCTCAAATTTACCACCCTCTTTCCTCAGTCTCTTGAGTAGCTAGGATTACAGGCACCTGGCACGCCTGGCCAAAAGCATTATTTTGATGTTGACATTAAATAACTCAGGCCATGACCCAAACTAGTTTTATGTTTATATAATTAAAATGTAATTGAAAATATTGAAATGTAACTTCCAATTCCCTAGAGGGGGTGCCCCCACCCATCTCTTACAGGTGTGTGCTGTAATAGAAACAAAGAGTCGCTAGGTGGCTCTGTCCTTTTTAAATAAAAAATAAATACATAAAGACTAAAGTCTGCAAAGGATACAGTTAGGAAACAAAGTATCGTTACTCAGTAGAACCTTTAATCAAAACAATAAACTATAATCTCCAACATGGTCCCTCATTCAGAATAATTTGGAGCTACTGGGTGAAGAATTAGACCCTAAAGGAAACCTTCAAAACTGCTTTCTGTATGGGTGATGAATTTGCTGAAAAGAAAGATATTGTATTCTTAAAGGCACCAATTACTAAAGGGGAGATGGCTTCAAACTTTAGTAATGTTCTGCCATCCAGCCAACTTTTCTTTTGGACCTCCTCTTTTTAGCTTTGAACTTTACAATTTAAGAACAGATATTAAATTGGGGCATTATAATAACATCAAGGATTTCTTTCCAATTTCTTGGAAATAGTTTTACTATTAACTATTAACACCCCAGGAGAGAAATCTCAAAATCCAACAAATTTGTTTATCTACATTAAGAAAACATTTAGGGGCTGGAATTGTGGCTCAGTGGTAGAGCACGTACCTTGCATGTGTGAGGCACTGGGTTCCATCCTCAGCACCATATAAAAATAAAGTTATTGTGTCTATCTACAACTAAAAAATATATTTTTTTAAAAAAGAAAGAAAACATTTAGATCCTTAAATCTAAATCAAAATATGATGTAGACAAACACTATTCCTTTTATTCCTTTCCACAGTATTTGGTAGGAGATTTAAAGAAATTGTTTCTGGTTCCAAAAAGATGACTAGCTACATTTGAAGTGAGATTAACATTCTTAGCACCAAAATTTGCTAAGTAAATATCTCTCAATTTCTTTAAGTACCAAAGTACATAAATAAATTTATCATGAAAATAAATGCCCTGCTATATGGGTGGGTGGGTGGGGTGACAAACGATTAAATATTCCGAACTGTTAGCCTGTAATTGGCATATGCAGAATAAAACGTTTTCCTTTCTCTCCTCCAGCATTTTTTTTTTCTTTTTTGGCGGAGGGGTGAGTACAGGAGATTGAACTCAGGATTTTACTTAGAGACAGGGTGTCCTTCAGACGTAAGGACACATTTAGGAATACTTTGTATTGGAAGAGACCATTTTCTTATTGTTGTTTTGAACCAATAAATAATGATTGCGCGGTACTTGGGATCGCCACAGTATTTTACTGCATTTGTTTTTTCTAGGCAGGGAGCCACATATTAAAATAAGTGGAATGCAAGTCATATAATCCGATTAGACTTTTAAAAAAATGAACATTTTTTCACAACTTAAATGACTTTAAACTAGTTTTAAAAGGCTAATTCCGAAACCACTTAATTGAAAGTCTTTGAAAAAGTTCACCGTTTTAAAGGTAACGAAATTACACCAGAAGTCTGAACAAACCGGACCTAAGATGAGCAAGTGCTTCCCGGAGTGATGGAACACAGGGTTTGGCTAGAAGAACTGAACCCCGACTTCAGTGGCTCTGATCATAGAATCCCCAGGGAGCGCAGATACGCCTAGGTGCCGGGGAACACCTCCCGCCGCACCCCCAAAAGGGCTGAAATTTTCCTCTACGGCTTACGATTGGGAGACGATCTGCATCGCGGAACGTGCATCGCCCTGGATCACAAAAGGTTTGGGGCTCGAGGTAGAAGAAGCGAAGAGGTCTGGGCAGGTGGCCTGAGCGGCCCCCGAATTAACGTGCAGACTTTCCCGAAGAGATTTATAAGTTTGCGTTACCTCCTCTTTTTAACATTTGTGCTCTTATCTCGTCGCCTAGTTGAGAGGACGGGAAGCGTTGCTCACCTTAAACCCGGTGGCTCGGCCAGCGCACGCGGGGAGGGGCGGGGCGGGGCGCGGCAGGTGGGGCGGGCCGGGGGCGTGGAGAGCGGGCCGCGGCCCGGGGGTGGCGCGCGGATATAAGCCGCTGCTCTCTGGGTTCCGCCCGCACCTGCCGGACCCCGGCCCGGGAGCCGGCGCCGAGCGCAGGCGAGGCGGGCCGCAGGGTGGCCCGCAGAGGGATGCTCTCGACCGAGCGGCGGGACCAGCCGCGCTCCCCGCTCGCCGCGGCCGCGCCGCACCCGCCCTCGGCCGCCGACATGGCCCTCTACTGCGGCGACAACTTCGGCGTGTACTCGCAGCCCAGCCTGCCCCCCGCCGCCGCCGCCCCGGGCGCGCCCCCGGCCTCCAGGGCGCCCTACACGCTGGCCGACTACGCCGCTCCGCCGGCCGCTGCCGCCAACCCTTACCTGTGGCTCAATGGGCCCGGGGTGGGCGGCCCGTCCTCCGCCGCTGCCGCCGCGGCCGCCGCCTACCTGGGCGCGCCGCCGCCGCCGCCGCCGCCGCCCGGGGCCGCGGCCGGGCCCTTCCTGCAGCCGCCGCCCGCCGCCGGCTCCTTCACGTGCGCCCAGCGGCCCTTCGCGCAACCCGCGCCCGCCGCGCCCGCCTCGCCCGCGGGGTCCGCGGCGCCCGGAGAGCTGGGCTGGCTGTCCATGGCCAGCCGCGAGGACTTGATGAAGATGGTGCGGCCGCCCTACTCGTACTCAGCGCTCATCGCCATGGCCATCCAGAGCGCGCCCGAGCGCAAGCTTACGCTCAGCCACATCTACCAGTTCGTGGCCGACAGCTTCCCCTTCTACCAGCGCAGCAAGGCCGGCTGGCAGAACTCTATTCGCCACAACCTGTCGCTCAACGACTGCTTCAAGAAGGTGCCCCGCGACGAGGATGACCCAGGTGAGGGCGGCGAGGCAGGTGCTTCGCAGCTCAGTCGGCGGGCGCGGGCAGGAGCCGGGCAGGGTCTGTGGCTGCCTGGTCTCCTCCGAGCCGGGGCGGGAGCAGGTGGAGGGGCAGCCACCTCGTCTGACCAGGGTGAGGGGAACCGGAGGAGAAAGAAACGTCAGAGAGGTCTGGAGGGAGCACCCGGTGAGCGGGGAGCTGGTCCCTTACCTCCGTACCTCCAGTTAGATAGAGGAGAGGGGGAACGTTCGTGTCAAACGAGAGGCCACCCCTGGGCAGTGTTCATCGGCCCTCTTGAAGGGTCGCCTAGTTACAAGGAAGGCCGATGGGGAGTAGGAATGCCGGGAAACTCACCCGAAAGGGGAGATAGATGGTTGAGAAAGCTGGGATCCCCGTCGGCTTTCACAAAGGAAGCGGACTCTGGCGCATTTCCTCCTCTATCCGACTCCTACGAATCTCACTGTGGCCACCTGAGAGAGAAGACCTGACCACCGTGGCTCCGGCACCATTAGATAGAGCTGGGACAGCTTTCATGACCCTACAAATTGTGATTTTGATGCCTTAACTAGTTAGAAATTTAAAAAGAATGTCCCCAACTTTCTTCTGCTCTGAGCTCCAAAACCCCTGGAGCAGGGAGGGCCACCTTACAGCGCTGAGTGTCCTTTCTTACCTGGCCTAGGAGCGGGAGGTGGAGAGAAGCAGCTTAAAAACAAGAGAGAAACTTGAGGTTTTTCCCAAGGAGCCCAAGACAAGGGGAGGGGAGGGGAGAGAGCTGCCTTGGGAAACAATATTAGTCAAACAGAAGTGTTCTCAGGCATGGCGCTCAGGCTGGGATTTTCCCTAGCCCCCTGAAGCCATGCTGCAGCAGCACTTTCCAACAGGAATACTGTACAAAGTCACATTCAAAAAGTCCAGAGTCTGGTGACATTTTTAATATTATTTAAGTATCCAAAATGTTTCAATTATAAAAATTACTAGTGCATTCTTTATATTATTTCCTTGGTTCTAAATGTTCAGATTCCTGTGAGCATTTTATTCCACATCTCAATTCCAAGTGCCCATAGCCAACTGTGGCTGGTGGGTACTGTATTGAACAGAGTAGACAGTTCTAGAAGATGCATCTTCCTGATTTGGCCTCTGAATTATTATTATAATAATAAAGATTATAATAAAGATTATCTTGTTAGTTATATGAACTCTTGAACTTTCGTAAACATTTAAAGTTATTGGTAGTGTCATCAAAGCTCTTGGTACTTGCAAAACAAAACATTTTGGGCTGAAGGTGTGGTTCAGTAGTAAAGCACTTGCCTGCATGCATGAGGCCCTGGGTTCCATTCCCAGCAACCCCTCCCCCCACACACATAATAATAATAATCTGTTGGTACCTAATTGGTCCAATATATACACCTGATAGATGCAGGTATTGTTACCTAAACTGTAGTCATATAAAACTTTCTTTTTCCTACAATTATCTGCAGAAAATGCAGATAATGGGCTTGGAAGAGTGAGTGCCTGCTAGTTTGTGGAAGCAGCTTAACACAGTAGTTAACAAAGAATTCTGGGTCTGGAGTCAGCCTGCCTAGATGCTGGCTCTATCATGGCAGTGATTGTGTAGCTCTTGAATACAGCAAGTTGCTGACCAGTCTGCATCTCATTTTCCCCATCTGAAGAGTGAGGGCAATTGTATTAGGAGTCTCCATAGAACTGTGAGGAGGTACTAAGGTTTTCCATGTAAAACTCTCATTAAAGGTAAATGCTTGGTAGTGCTTTGAAACATCAAAGGTTCTTTTTTCTAGAAGTGAAAAGGGCTATTGGATGAGATATCCCTCTTTCCCACCTTGGTTGTAGAACATAAGGGACATTTTCTAAGCAGACAAGCTTTGTCCATGTTTGCCATGTGGACAGAAGGCTTAGAAGATTTTCAGGGGTGTGTTCTGCCCAACAGGAATGGAGGTCGATGGCCAGCATTTCCTCAAACTCCAAAGGAGCGCCATCCCATGAGCTGCTAATACCGAGGAGATTGCACAGTAATTATCTTCATTTGCAGGCTGCTTTTTTTCCAGTAGGATAGTTTTTTCAATGGTGGGAGTTTTATACTTTTAGGGAATAAGAATTTTACAATAAATACTGTATTTTTCACTGCTCGCCATGTGCCAGCTACTATGCTTGAGATGTTATTTAAACCTCAATCTGGTAGATGGGTGCTGTTCTCATCCCTATCATTGTAAAAAATGGAAGCCCAAGTTTTTTTTTTTTTATTTATTTTTTATTTTTTAATATTTATTTTTTAGTTTTCAGCAGACACAACATCTTTATTTGTATGTGGTGCTGAGGATCGAACCCAGGCCACACGCATGCCAGGCAAGCACGCTACCGCTTGAGCCACATCCCCAGCCCCAAAGCCCAAGTTTTAAGTAGCAACAGAGTTCCATGATTTTGCAAGGTCACACTTTTTTGGATCTAGAATAAGGGAAGGTGTGTTGGGCAATTTAATTATAAGTGCTTTGGGAATCTAATTAAGTCTGGGGGAGGAGGCATGGAACCCAGGGCCTCACACATGCTAGGCAAGCACTCTACTGCTGAGCTAATTCAGTCCTGCAATCTCCAACTTTGACATCTATATGGGGTCCTGCCAAGTTGCCCAGGCTGGTCTGGAATTTGCCATGCCCCTGCCTCAGTTTCCCCAGTCTCTGGGGAGACAGGGGCATGTCCAGATCACATGATTTCTATCACAGTTACATTTTCCTTAATTGTGCTACTTTATTATTAGTTATTAGTAGTAACTTTTACCTTGCCTCATTTTAGAAATTAAACTGTATCGTGGGTAAATATGTATAGGGAAAAAAAAAAAAAAAACAGAAAAAAGAGGTTTGGCGCTTCCAGGGTTGTAGGCAGCCCCGGGGGTCTTGGGACCTGAGGGGACCGTGGACGACTATGCACGGGCATAAACAGGTCCTTCTCTAATATGTCCTTCGTTCCCAGGGAAAGGTAATTACTGGACTCTGGATCCAAACTGCGAGAAGATGTTTGATAATGGAAACTTCCGTCGGAAGCGCAAGCGGCGCTCGGAGGCCAGCGGCAGCTCTGCGGTGGCCACCGGGACTTCCAAGTCAGAAGAAGGGCTGTCCTCGGGATTGGGGGCCCGAGTGGGCGGCGCCCCGGAGGGAGAAGGCCCCTCCTCTGTGCTGCGGCCAGCGCAGTCGCCGGAGCCTGAGGGCGCCAAGAGCCCCGCGTCCCCACCAGGTGGCCCGGTGCTGGCCTCCGCCCCCTGCCTCGGTGCCTTCTTCAGCAGCCTCAGCGGTCTCAGCGTCGGCAGCGGTGGGAGTGCCCAGCGCGCCGGCCCTGGCGGCCGCCACCTGGGGGCCCAAGGCCCTCAGCTGCCCTCCAGCAGCGCCTTCCCCGCCACCTCCATCTCTGAGGCCTCTGCAGACACCTTGGCGCTGGGCACCAGCAGCAGCAGCAGCCAGCGATCTTCCTACTACAGCCCGTTCCCGGCCAGCGCCGGTGGGGGCCAGAGCAGCCCCTTCAGCAGCCCCTTCTACAACCTGGGCATGGTCAACAGCCTCATCTACCCACGGGAGGGCTCCGAGGTGTAGGAGCCCTCAGACTTGGAGGCACTGCTGAGCAGATCGAGGTCTGGGGTGGGGCTGAGCTTCGTATTTGTTTGAACTCCTGGGTGATCCCATGGTGTAACTGCCAGGGAGCAGGGAACCCCCAGACCCCAGCAAACTTTTACAGATCTCCTGAAGATGGGCCTCTGGGCAGAAGTCTGCCTGCATTCTGAGGCAGGTAGCCTGCAGCCCTGTGAGGCAGAGACTGGGTCTGGGGGCTTGTTGGTCTGTGCCGGGTTGTGGGCTCAGGGATGCTCAATTGGAGCCCGCCCTGAAGTCCCTAGGTGGTAAACAGCAGCTGGCACTTGGAGCCGGTGGTTGAACCCACCAGCCAAAGGCTCGGAAGCAGCTGGCCATCCCCTGTCCTACTCTCTGATCTTTTCTAGAAAAGCCAGGTAATTTGGCCTTTTATAGGAAACTTCCAACTTTGTGTCCTTGGCCTCCAGTTAAAGTTTGTATCAGTGTGCCAGGAAGCACTACAAGTGTGCAGCAATTCACCTCTGACTGGTACCTGTGACATACTTATTGCCTTAAGGCTGCCCTAGGTACCAAGCATTGCCCTAGTCTCAATGGGTTTAGCCCATCAAGTCTGCCTCACAGGGGTGGCCACAGAGCCCTGTCCCACACTTGCTGTCTATGCAAGCGACATGGACTTCTGAGATGAGATGTGACTTGCCCCAGGTCCCAGGGAGAAAATGGTGGAACTGGGCCTGGCTGCAGAGCTGGAGCTGGTAACCTGTATCCCAGCTGCTGAGACCAACTGCACCGTGTCAGGCTAAGGAGGCAGGCATGACAGGAGCTGGGTCTCGCCCCACCAGAGACTCTGGTGGAAATGGCAGTCCCTGGCAATGCTCCCCTGGGCAGGAAGGGAAACGCTCACTGGCTCTGCCTCACCTCCTGCCCAAGTCCAAGGCTGAGGTGACCGCTGAGCCAGCTGACCATGGTAGCCTGTCCCTCTTAGCTCCTGTCCTGGGCATTTCATTTTGTAGTCAAGTATTGTTAGAATTTTATTAAAAATAGTTTTAAAATGGAATTTCATAGCTTTTAATATGATAAACCATTTGTGCTCAAATTTTAAAAAAAGATGATTTTATTTATATTAGCACCCTTTCATTCAGAGGCATGGTCCCTTGAGTAACTCTTGCCCTCACCCTCCCAGGGCCCAGCAGAGACCTGGCACCTTACATGGCAAACACTTGGCCATTATTGGTGGACTAGTGAGTTAGTAAGAAAATGTTAATTAAAAATGACACCCTGGGAACAGCATTCTATTCAGATGAAGATAGTCTGAGTCCCCTTTATCATGGTTTTGAGCCTTTGATGTGAGCATTTTTTGTCTGGGGTTTGGAATTTTCTAGAAACAGGATCACATGCACATTGTAATTAAAAAAAAAAACTGTTTCCTGAATACTCCTGAAGATACAATATTTTTTTTAAAAAATCCTTATTTTGAAATAGAGCATGTGGAAAAAATCATGAACTTATTGAGCTCAAGATCGTCACCACTACCTTTTATACAAAGACAACCAAAGAGACTCCCTACCCTCTACTATGTGTACAGAAAACCATTTCTATGGATATTTTTGTATGTGAGCAAGCATATGAACTTTTATAAATATTGTTTCTAGCACAACTCTATATTTGTGAGTTAATTTATAATGTGAACCAGGGCAGCAAAGAAAAAATTTTTTTAGGAAAGTAAACTGCCTGCTGAGAAAGACCATAGGAAATAAACTCAAGTGGGGTGACTTCTGGCCTCTTTGGGGCATTCCTGCTTTGTCCTAAAGGAATAGAGGGGTAAGGGGCATGGCATCAGCCACTGGGGGACGAGCTGTCACCTGTCCCTCAGGTTCGCACCCCCCACACACACAACATGACTGTTGGCTTCTGACGGGCTCACTATCTGGATCAACCAGATTTCAGTGCATCAGACAAACCGTGCTCTGAGGGGAAGGGACTTGGCACCCCATCAATGCTAAGGAAAGAGCTGGTATTGCAAACTTGCCCCATCTGAAAAGAATCCAAAGGACCAGGGCTTCAAAAGCTGCCCAGAGGCCCCTGAGGAGGTGAGGGACAGGTGATCTAGCCCAACACCTGCCATTTGCCAAAAAGCCGCTTCCAAAACCCTAGGTCCTGGGGCCAGAGGGTGAGCCCGGTCTGTCTGCATAGGCCTCTGGCTTCGGTCCAGGCAGCTTCTGACCTATACAGTGCCTTTTCTCCCTAAAGACCATTGGAGCAGAAGCAACCCAAATGACTAGGGCATTTCTTGGAACTGAGGTCACAGCTGGCCGCATTGTCACGTGGAGGTAGAATCTGTCAGTGTTTCAGTTCCTGATTATAGATTCTCAAGGTAGCTTTCTTCTTGACATCAAGTTATTAGAGACCAAAGGCTGGGAATATTTTGACTAAGCCTCTTTGGGGCGGGAAGTGTGGGGCTCAGGCATCCAGGTTTCTTGGGAAGAAACAGAAAACCATACAATGCATCTGAAAGTCCTGGGTCTGGGTAGTTGATGGACATTAAATGTCAGAATGATGCCCTTTATGAGGACAAAGGTGAAGAGAACCAGTTTCCCTCTTTTGGGGAGGCTGGGTCCCTGCTGCCCACACTGCGGGAGCTGTGCTCTTGTGTGTCCACCAGCCTGGCCCCTGCTGGGCACCGGCAGGAAGAGCAGGGAAGCAGCTGCCTGGGCCTGGGCTGCTTCCAGGTCCCATGGGCCAGCGCCCAGTTCACACAGATTTCCTGCAGCAGTGACACTGCCTGGGAACCATGTCTGACACTGGATCTGGGTCACACCCTGTGGCTCCGGTCGAGTCAGCGCAGAGGATGAGATGTGGCCCACAGCACTCAGTTAAGGTGCATCTCTGGGGAGCCGGAGGCCCCGCAGTGGCCTCCCTGCATCCCAGGACTGGGGCATCCGGGATGCCGATGGGACCCAGGGAGAATTTGAGGAGCTGAAGAGCAGGTTTCAAGTTTCCTTCTTGACACTCTTTTAGATCCTCTGTCCCATTCTTGAACTTACTGGAAAACACAGCCAGGAGCCCAGAGGCTTTGAAAGCCCTGTGCCTCTCGGCCCTCCCCCTGCCTGGCCCGAGGGCTCTCACTGGGCAAAGGGCCAAGCGCAGGCCACTGCCCTTCAGAGCAGACTCCAAACTGCCTCTCTTCCTTCCTGAGGCTTCCCAGATCTTCCACAGGTCCTGTCTTGGGGTCCAGCTGGGCTTTTGTTTCCTTTGGCTGCCCCTGTAGCTAAAACCTGGAGGTGGCTAATGAAACAGAAGCCCCAGTCTGTCCTGAGGCGAGATCTGCAGGCCAGCTAGAGACCTGGCCCGCCCTGCCTTTGTCATGGAAAGCCATCGAGGGGCTGTGACTGGGTGGCTGGCACCACTGAGAAAAGAGGGAATTTCCCCCATCAGATTCCAAACAAAAAAAGGTCAGAAAGGAACAGCTACCCACGAGGCCCTCCAGTTTACCATTCGCGATGTTAAAGGGTCCTTGAAAACAGGCAGGGAACAGTCCTTTACCGTTTTAAAAAGAGACAAGCGTTGCAATAATAAAAACCCACTTACCAGGTGCCGGCACCTTCCCAAGCCCACAGGTGAAGTATAAAGTAGCCCTCTGCCCACGGCCCCACCCGGCGGACGCCCAGGCCTGGAGCCTGGGTCCCTGCTCTTGCTCACCCACCTAAGTGGTGCTGTAGGTAAGGGCTTGAACTGGGATTCAAACTAAACCATCTGATGTCAGAGCCCACCTGCCCTCCACCTACCTCACCACCTCTGCATTTCAAAAGGCAGAAAGGGGAGGGACAGAGGGGCTGGAGGACTTCCCAAGGTGGCTACTAGGTTGCCAACTTGGGCCTAGAACCCCGGCTCCTGCCCCCAGCAGAGTGGTGTTCCTGATGAGGCACTTCCTTTGCGTGTCCCCAAGGCTGGATTGGGGTCTGGGCTCCTGCTCTGAACACAGGAAGGTGAGCCGTGGGAAGGGAAGTCACTTTTCCTTGGCATATCCTCCTCCACATCAGCCGGCAGCCAGATCAAGGCCCAGGTCTTGGGCTCTGAAGCTGCCCAGGGAAGCCGGACATTGGGAACCATGGTTGGGAACTCATGAGGAATGTATCCGCTGACTCAGCAACCCCCAGTGGCCACCAGGATGACCAAGCCCCAGGCCCTGGTTTGAGTTGCTCACCACTCAGAAGAGAGGAGATCAGTCCTTAAAAAATATGGGGGAGGCCAAGAAGAGAGGTGCACAGAGCAGGGGCCACAAGCCCCCCTGAGCCTCTTTATCAGCCTCCAAATGGAGGCCAGCGAGGGGTAGGCTGGTTCAAGCTCCCCAGGCCTGGGCCAAGAGGCTGCAGCCCCAGTCTCTTCCCTTTTTGACAGCTCCTACTAGATCTTTGTGCCAAGAGGGTCCCAGGCACACAGATCCATGGTGCGTCTGGGCCACAGAGCTGGTCAGAATAAAGCAGCCTCAGGCTTTGTGACTGCCTAGAGCAGGTTCCCTGGCCCCCTTCCAGGCCTGGAGTGCACTGCCCTCCGTGGCATTGCACCCCCGGCTCCCCGCTCTCGCCCCTGTGCCAGCCTTGGGGGTCGGGGACTGATTTCTTTGGACTGCACTTGAGCGGAGGTTCACTGGAGCTCCGCGTGTATAGGGTTTTCTCCTCTCCATTATCCTCGTGAGTGGCCTGTGTCACCACATGGAGATACCTCCGTTCCACCTGGATGGGAAACCAGGCACCAGGCAGCAGGAGGACTTGTCCAAGGATGAGGCCCACTGACCCTGTCCCCCCTCGCCTTCGACTCCACACCTGGGCCTGGCCCAGTTCCACAAACTACCTAGGCCTGCATCCCCTCCAAGGTGAAGTGGGTGAAGGCCTCTCTCGGGCCAGGGTGGCCGGGAGGGGCAATGTGTGGATATCACCTTTAATCTGTGTGTGCCGACTCTGTCCACCCACAGCGCCCCACGGGTCTCTTTTCAGAAAGTCGCTGTCAGGATGCCCGTGTTGTGGTTCAACAGCTGGAAGGTGAGGCTAGTTAGCCTCCTGTTACAGAAGGGTGAAAGCAGGCAGGGGTCTCGGCAGAAAGGGACGTTCCTTCACCAACCCCACAGTCCCAGGTGGCCCCCCACCTTGCCGCCTGTTTTCCTCAGCTCCTTGTTGTCTGTGGGTCCTGGGGCTGGGAGGGAGCCCAGGCCCTGAGCAGGCTAAGCCCACGCTCCTGCTGGGCTAACCTGCCAGTGAGTAAAATAAGAGCTGTTGGCTCCGGGTCTCGGCTTCTGACAGCTCACCTGTTCACCTGGGGGCACCTCACCTCTTTTGGGGAGGGTGGGGACACTGGGGATTAAAACTGGGAATGCTTTACCACTGAGCTATGTCCCCAGTCCTTTTGTTATTTTAAGACAGATTCTCACTAACTTGTGTGGCTGACCTTGAACTTTCCTGCCTCAGCCTCCTGAGATGGTGGGATTATAGGCGTGGCCCCGGCACCTGACTACCAGCATGATATGTAAATATCATGCCAGAAGCACATTTCTCTCCCACTTAGAGCCTCTCCGGAAATTCTAGTAGCAGCGAACGCAGAGGCTTATCTGGCCCTGCACATTCCAGGTCCTGGCCTTCCACAGCCTCTCATCGGCCTCACACTCCCAGCCGCTCACCGCTGTGCGGCCCTCAAACCCTGTCTGCTCCTTCTGCCAGGACGGAGCACCTCCCCAGGTCCTCTGGCTCCGGTTCACAGTTCCCTCTTGGGAGCAGCTGTCCCTGGCATCCTGACCCCTCCCACTCCCACCAACTCCCCCAGGCGGTCTTAACGGTCTGACTCAAAATAAGATAAAAGCATCTTATCAATAAGGATGACTTCTGGGGTTGTGGCTGGAGCTAGCATTAGGGCCAGAGGGGGACAAGGTACATGCACTCTGAGGTACACTCTGAGGTGACCCCATTCATAGCCACCTACTTTTGCTTAAAAAATAAAGCCCACATCCAAGTGAAGAAATTGTCATAGACCCTAAGAGAAAGGTACAGTATTCCTCTCCCTTGTTTGGGGGACCAAGGCACAGAGCAGCCACATCTCCATGATTTCATCACTATTTATTTATTTATTTTGGATCGAACCCAGGGGTGCTTAACCACAGAGCCTCATCCGAGCCCTTTTGATTATTATTTAGAGCAGAGCCTCACTAAGTTGCTTAGGGTCTCGCCAAGTTGCTGAGGCTGGCTTTGAACTTGCAATCCTCCTGCCTCAGCCTCCTGAGCTGCTGGGATGATAGGCATGTGCCACTGCGGCCTCATAGGTACAGAGAACAGGAAAAGTTATCCTTGTCCTTTGGCTTTAAATGGGCAGACTCCCAAGAACTTCTGCTCTGTTCTGCCTGGATCTAGACCTCAGCACCACCTCCCCAAACCCCCACCCCCCACCCTGGCTCTGGCTTGTCACAGAGGAGAATCCCACCAACACCTGGAGCCTCCAGAGGCCCAGCACTCCTGCAGCTAGGACACTTCCCAGGTCTCCCCTTTCTGGTTTGGCAGCCTTCACCAAGTGCCTTTAGGAGCAGAAGGACTGCCTTCAGCCCAACCTAGAGCCTCTCCTTCCGTGAGATTCACTGCGGTGCCCCAGACACGCCCCCCGTGCTGCTCAGAAGCAGTGGCCATCGGCTG